ATTTGCGAACGGTGGATGGTAAGACGACAGAGGTCGTTTGTTCGGGAACGGTGTCCGGACGTTAACGGGCGCTGGACGTCAGTGGGCACTGGATTAGATCGTCAGCGGGTGCTGGAATAGGTAGCGGGACGTCGGTAGAGCGCCGCAGGGGTGAGCTGGAGGCCGCTGGAAGCTGTTGGAGTGAGCTGGAAACTGCAGGAGTGCTGGAAGCTACAGGAGTGATCTGAAAGCTGCAGGAGTGCTGGAAGCTGCAGGAGTGAGCTGGCGTCTCAGAGGGAAGGCAGTAGCAAAGAGTGGAGTGAGTGGAGCCTTGAACAGTGGTGATCGAATGACTTTCGGAAGTTAGCCCTGAAAAGGACTGTTTGAACAACTGCTACTACTGCTGCTGGGTCCCGTCAGCTGCTGGGCTTGGTCGACTTGACTGGGCGCGTCAAAGTCGCGAATCAGGAAGGCTTCCTGCTCCCTGGCCGGCTAAAAACCGCTGCGAAGTCTCGGGCATCTAGATATGACTGTTCATACAAGAGAAGCAATGACGCTAAACAAGTAAATGAATATAATTAATTTCGGGCCGTATTAATTACAGTCAAAAGTGTGTTCGGTGTTTGTTGACTGTATTTAAATTAATTTCGGTTCGAAATTAAAGGTCTTTTATTTTTGTTTAGTGGCGAAAATTGAGTTTTGTGTGTTTCTGTCAGTTTGGAAGGATGTCGTTGCTATTTTTAGCACACAAGGGTCGTGACCTTTCTCTACCGGCAGGCATATCCGGGGTTGTTTAAGAAAAGGTGGGAGTGGTGTTTGGGCACACTGCGACAGTAGTAGTAGTCACTACAAGTTCTTGTTATTCCTGCCAGAGGGATCTGAAATCTGTTCAACTAGAAGTATTTCTTTTTTTTATAGCTTCATAGCGTTCCTTGTAGACCCCGTGACTATACCCATTACCGCTGCCACCATGTAATATTTTTATGAGGATTGAAGACATGTAACACACATCTTGTGTGTTACAAGCCTAGCCGGCTTGCTTTATTCTCCATATGCTTTTCTCACCTCCCCCTCCCCGATCGGTTTTCTACCGTCTTTGTTTTAGCGAGCTAGGCTAGGGGAGATAATTGGAATCATAATATTATAAGCAGCTCGTTTCAGTAAAATAAATCAGAATTCTTATAAATCTGTAGTTTTAATGTATTGTCATGAAGAGGAAATCTTCATACAACATTAAATGACCTGATAAAAAATAATATCCAGAAATGTTTAGGACAAAGGTAAGAGAGTTCGTTGTTCGCCGAAGGGATATATGATTTGTATATGTTCCAAAATAGACAGAGAGAGATAGTTTGAAATACTTAGCTTTCTTGGATTGCTGAGAGAAAAATATTTGAAGTGTGGCGTGTTGGTTAGAGGCCGGTAATATAATTGGCGAGTAATTTTTACACTGGATAGCACTTCAACGCTAGTTGCGAGGAACTGAAACGAAACCTTTCATATGACTTCTGACACGCTTCTGATTAATTTTTCTCCTAATTTTATATCAAAAAGAATTTCACGTAGGTTTGCTGCTTTCTTTTGTTCATCTCCTTGGCTCACCGGCTAATTTCTGTGAAGGCGAAGTTTTCATTGGTCCAAAACAATTTCACATAGGCTCGCGAATTTCTTTCCTACTCCTCGCTCACCTATTAATTTCTGTGAAAAGAAAAAGTCTCACCTAGGCACGCGAATTTCTTTCCTTCTTCTTCCTCAGTCTTCCGAATTTGTAGAGAGCGTGTGAAGGGAGTTATTATTTCGCAGTCACTACAGAGGCAAATGGAAAAAGAAGTGACTCAAGTGAAACCTGTGAATAGAACTGAGTTCTAAAAAAAGAAAATTGTTAAAAGTCCTAGTGATGCAAGTTCATTTTTTTTTACAAAGCCACCTTTTGTTTTTTCATCTTTAAATTAGGTGGGTGCCCCTTTTTAAAGGCTAAGGAGTATTTTTAAATTTTAAACCTATTTTCAAAGGTATTTGTATTATTACCTTCTGAATATTTTTTCCGATTATTGGAAGTTTGAATGGCATATCTTTTTAGTTTTTACGAGCCTAAATTCTTATTTTGATGTGTTATTTTGACCTGTACTAAAAAGGCACATAAAAAGAAATTATTGTGTAAGTTTTTGTAAAATCTTTATTTTCATTGTTTTTTTTGTTTTTTTTTTTTTTTTTTTTTTTATCTCTACGTAATATTTTTACTGGCGTTCTCTTTTTTCTCTTAATCTCTCTCTCGAAAAATCCTTTGATGTCTTTAACCAAAATATTTTGATACAAAAAAAAACAAACTAATTTCTCGAAATGTCGGGAAACTGAATGAGTGTACTGTCGAGTAAGAGAAAAGTATATATTTTTACATCTGTATATATTTTTACATTATTATTCTTAATAATACAAAGGTTTGACGATAAATTTTTTTTTTAGTTTTGTTTTGGTCATTTTTTTCATCATGTATCCAGATCCTCTTTTTTTAGTGAATTTCTTACGGTACATAGAAAAACTTATAAGATGGAATTATGAAATTTCTTAAACGATGGAAGGAGATAGTGAAACATGGTAAATGTCGATTAAAGTATGTGTTGAAAAAATTATTTTTTATTTAATAAACCAAATGAGCTTTTTTGGTCAACCATTTATTGCATTTATTTGCATATATACTTTCAGACTTATATTTTTTTTACCCATACCAACTCAGTTTTTGAAAACAATAATCGCAGTATGTATATTTCAAAGTTTTTTTTTTATCAACTCTGTGTTCATTGTTACTTAGACCTTTATGTTCCACGAAATACTTGTTAGATCTTTTTGTGAACCTCTCCCGGTGTCAAATAAGTCATTTTATCAGGTGGATATTTAAAATGAAATTGTTTTGTTTGAGTTTTGACTTTTGAGTACTTTGATCATTGTTGGTCAAAGGAAAGTAGAAAGTTCAAAAATAACCAATAAATAAATCGTATTCGTATGTGTTGATGATCTACTTCAACTTGTGATCTTACATTTTCTATACAAGATCTATAAATGATGATTTTATAATCCATAAACTAATGATAAAGCAAAAAAAAAAAAAAAATTACAACAAAAAACACGTCATTAATGTGTGACCTTCATTCGGAGTGGAAAAAATTAAGATGAGACATTTTTTTGTTCAAGTAGCAAGCTCTATTTAAAACCCATACGTATTTTTTAATAAAATGTATGTATGTAGCAAGGGTTCCTATATTCAGAGGACTTAAAACCATTATTTGCTTAATTAGTGCTTCATTTTGTTTCTTTTTTACTTAACATAACTATTGCTACCTGATAGTTAGCGCGCTAAACAAATTAGTCATAAATAATCTAGTAGAGTGTCTTTTATAGGCATCTGTAGTTACTTACATTTTGTCCACTAAGACTGTTTTTAATCATTCTAACGAGAAATAAGTGCTGCGTAATTTGTTGCGTTTAAAAAGCGAAAAATCACAGAAGCGGATCCCAAATTTTGAGCAGGGCGGGGTCCAGATACATAAAAATATGGAAGGCGCAATTAGCGATCAATGTCTTAACAAAATTTCGCATTTTATTTTTCACTTACATTTGAATCGTCGCTTTTTAAAGCTTTAATTAGCAAAAGAAAGAGTAAAGTGAAAATAGTAAGTAAAGAAATTAACCACAAAAAATAAAAAACATTTCTTAAAAATAAATTTTTTATTCTTTGTTGTCTTTTATTTACTTGTTTTCGAGTTTTTTCTTTGTAAAAATTTATTTCGGTATTAAGAAAAAAATGCGACTGCACTTTGCCAGAACAACACTCAGATCCGTGCCTGGCACATTTATTTTAGTACAGCACTCTTTCAACTCACTGCAAGACTATGTAATAAATGTTATTATTACAAAGGTAGGCGCCGATTTCTCAAGTCAAGTACCTGTAGTGAAGTTTTTAGACTAAATTTTGAAAAACAATTTTAAATAGTTTTTTTTTACTTTTTTCACGTACGTAAGTAAAATATTTTTTTATTTCAGAATAAAATGTATAGAAAAATACACTTTTTGTTGCAAAAGCAACAAATAGACTTTACTGTATTTATTGAATGATTTGTTATTTTATAATTTTTAGTGATTATTGTACAAAGAAAGTTTAGCTTAGTTTGGTGAAGCATTAGGAGAGGTGGAGCTCAAATCATTTTATTTTTAAAGTTAGTAGTTATTTAATAGTTTACATCAGAATCAGTCTAGTTTGGAATAAAAACAAACAAACAAAACAATGGCTCCACATTGAATATGCACCCAAAAAGCAGAGAGAGAGAGAGAGAGAGAGAGAGAGAGAAAAAAAGCAAGAGATGAGAAATACCGGAATATATTTTTTATGATTGAAATTGCCTTTTTATATTTTTTGTTTCTGTTTTACGTCAAAACAAAATAAATAGGCAACTTTTTTCTAATCGTTATATTCACGAACATTTGCATAAAACTGCTTGTCAAAAATGGCAGATAGGCTGTTATTAATTTCGCTGATATAATAGAAAACTTTGATGCCTGATATTTTATAAAATAAAAAACTGAGACTAGAACTACTGTTCTAACAAGAGTTGCTTGCTATTAAGCGCCAATATTAGAACATAATGGTTACTGTTCTTGTGGCCTACCATATCAAAACATTTTAGATTTTGGAGTTATTTCCCTTAGATAGGCTCACCTAAGTAATTCTATAAGCAAATCAATTTCAAATATTTGAGGGTGGATGGTTATAGCCAGATTTGTTGTGACGTTTCATCTCTTAACTGTCACTTCTGTGTACATATAGTTGTAATTTCTTTTTAAGTTGAAATCTATGTTTACAAATTTATTGTAAAATCATAAAAAAATGTCATTACATTTAACCAATCGTAAGTGACGTTTCTACTAGAGGACTGTTTGGACGAGAACGTTTTTCTCTGGCTGTTCTGATTAACTCGGTTAAGAGTCTATAATAGACGGATTGTCGACTCTACTTCAACGTTTCAATCATGACCAAGCTGAAGGTAAAATTATACTTCTTAAATTATCTTTTCTGATCCTCACAAATAGCCGATTTAGAAAACTTTAAAAATAAAAGCAATCTTTTTATTTTATTTTTAAATTACTGAATTCTTCTAAGCAAATACATAATTTATTTTGTAGGTGTTTTCTAACTTTAGTTTAAAATTAGATATTGCAATTCCGTAAAAAGCACGTGGCTTTTCATTTAACGCAATCCATGTGTACGATTGATTCAAGTTTTATACTAGTACTTGTTTTCGTATTATTGTTTTATTAAACTTTTACAAAAAAATACATTTTCACGATATTTGTTAGAAAGAAAAACTGCAGCTTAAAATTTAACTATTTTTTTGTAAGACTACTTTGACTTAAAAATCTTTTAGTTTAAATATTTTTTTAACTTTGTTAAAAATGAACGCGACATTTCACTTTTTCTCTAAAAAGTAAAGAAATGTTATTGTGTTGAAAAATGTATGATATTCTTTCAAAGGCATTTTTTAGTAACAGTCCTTCATCCTCTTAGAAAATATTTTATTAAACATGCATTGTTAAGAAGTATTTTTAAATATTCGATTAAGTTAACTGAAGTAAGAAGAAGCTTTTAAAAACATTTGTCCTATATGGTTCGTTTTTACACGAGATTCATTTCTTTCGAGAGGTTTCATTTTTTTTTTTTTTTAGAAAAAGTAAGATGATTATTGCTGGTGTTCAATTTAACATGGGAATCGAAAACTTAACTGATTTTGTGCACGTTTACGGAAATATGGCTTCAAATGTGTATCTGAATTGTGTCAGTGTTGGAAAACAAATTCTTAAATTCAAAATAAATATCGATTTTATTTTAACTGGATTTGCCTTTTTATTTTGTAGCATAAACGGGCACAAAGTCAGTCCATTTTTTTACATTCAATTCACGTGTTAAATTGGTGGTTATGAATCTGAGCGCAAACTGTGTCAAAGATGGTATTATTATTGCATAGATTCTAAATAATTAGTAAATTAAACTCATTTTACATTACAAACATTCCTCTCGATTCCAATTTAATTAAAACTTCATCTTTCTCAAATAATGTACATTTCCGGAAGTAGTCAATGAAAATGTCATATTCGAACAAAGCAAAACAAGCTACATAAAAAAAAAAAATGCATTTTCATACAAAAATCAGTTAACTGAATCTTATGAATTGCTTCAAAATAATTACAAAATTAAGAAAAATAATCTTGTTTTTAACTTATTTTTTGTTTTTATTTTTGAATATATATTTTTAATCCAGGATTATTTTCGACCATTTGTAGACGTTTAAAATAAATTATGAAAACTCTTCGTAGATTAGTTTTTACTTTTTAGTTTCATTATTATTCCATTCAATCCATATTTATCGAATTATTGTCTCCAATTTTTGTTTTTAAACAAGGATGAAGCTGAAGACAATAAATACATGGAAATCAATAACATTTACCTGCTGAACAAATATCTTTACTCTGCGACAACACGAGTAATTGTTATGAATTGACATTTTATTTGTGAGTTTAAAAATAAAGAATGGCAATTATCAAAAACGAAGATAGTGCGATCCCACCTAAACGAATTTTAATTTTTAAAGGAGAGACAGACTGTTGATAAATAAAAAAATATTTTTATCACTCTTTTTCTTGAATATCTTTGCATTGGAGTAAATTAAATATTGTAAATTAAATTAGCTTCTTCGGTTAAACAAAAAGTTAACAGTTCTGTTAAAATGAAAATTCCAGAAGTTTCTAAAAAAAAGTTTCACTAAATGATAAAAAATTTTTTTTTTACTTTTCATTTTAATTGCTATTAAAAATAATAATGACGATTCGGACAAGAATATTATCTTTTTTTTTTTTTTAATGAAGTGTAATTTTGGCTAAAAATTAACATGAAAAAAGTGTTTTTTGTATGAACTTAAAAAAAATTCTATGGTTGTTGTAAGAACATAATTATTATTTTCTCACCATTGCATACGTGAAAAATTTTGTTTTGAATAATGTTACTCAAAAATCAAAATATTTTGCTAAAACTTAAAAGCAAATAATGAACATAAATTATTTGTTTATTTCAATCAATCATTTTAAAATATACACATAACTGCAAAAAAGTTTGTATTTGTTAACAATGTATGGAAAAACTTGCCACTAGGCTTTCTACCTTGCATGTGGTGGCCATTTCCATGAAAGAACTTGGGCAGATTGAGATGTGACTTATACACTATGGTTCATCAACTGTACTGACTAGTTACAGTAGTTTATAGTTTTCAGTTTCTGCTGTTTTATCTGTAGTAATTTATGAGTTTTTTTAGTCAGACCTCATTACCAAAAAAAGGAAAACAAATTAATATCCGGCTCAATGTGGTGATAATAAGTGGAGGAAGTTTGAAGCTATTATTCAATAAGAAGAAGTGATTGCAAATTTCAAATGAATTATTCAATCAATAGGCATATCTGTTGTTGCCCTTGAAAAAAAAAATTTTTTTTCATTGATTGAAAATATTCTATTCTGCTCAAAACAAACTCTCAAAGCCTTTAATTTGACATGTCTTTTGTGTACACAATATTAGTGCTTCTCTCATTGGGTGCCAGTATGAAAAAGTTGTTCAAGGATTCATTCCCAGTACATAGAGCTGGCTATGGAAAAAGAATGAAGTAGTCTTGAAATTGCTTGAATTTAAAGGACAAATTTGATGAAATTATGAGCATTTGGGAGTAAATACATCCATTTAGAGGATAGTTGTTTTGACGATATGTCTGAGAAGCTGGTTGATTGCTAGACAAGTACTTTTCTACAACTTCAGAAGGTAAGGATTTCTCTACTAAAAATGATGGGGATTCCAATTTGAAGCCTTCGGGGTTGAACACTTTGTAGCTCCAGAGAGTTAAACTTGATGAGCTTCTGAAGAGACTTCAAAACGTATGGAAAAGTGTTGATTGGTACAGTTGAAACTCTCCAAGAATATTTTATATAGAGGTTGATAAGCTGCTAAACAAAAACAACCAATGAACTAAGAATATGTTGCAACAGCTTTGAGTTTATTTCTTTGATTGTATCATTCTTGCTTATAGAATTACTGGTAATTTCTTTAGTTTTGGGTCCCTTTTTTATTTCAAACATAAAAAAAAAAAATTTATTTTTGAACATTTTCAAAACTTTGTCTGAAATGTTTTTTTTTTTTTTTTACTAATTTACTGAATCTGTAAATTCTTTGAAACACTAAGTCATAGCCAAACCATACTAGGTGGTGCTGTTTCAGTAACAAGTAGATTTTATAGAATGGAATTGTTAGCCACATGCCTAATTGGTTTTAAATTCAGGGTTGTTCTCTTTTTTTCTATAATGCCTGCAGCTCAGAGAATCCAGTCTGCACTGCCATTTAAACTATAATGAGAGGGAGAGAAGCAATGCATTCACATTTTCCCAAGAATATTTGTGTGAATGTGACCTCAGCTGGGATTTAAACTTTGTTCACCAATCCCATTTTCTACACTAATAGCCACAACATTGTGTACACACTCTGTATTGCACAAAATATTACAAACAAAACAAGAAAGATTTATTTATTGTTGTTTTTTTTTTTTTAGCCATTTGTTATTTCACTAGGCTGAAAAAAGCTCTTTTGATCCCAAATTGACAGCTAATGAGCTCCAATAACCTTAGAGTTCAGTATCACATGCTGTCATCATCATCTGCCCAAGTTAACCCCATATACCATTTTATTGCCAAAAATATAATTGTTTGGCTGTAATACAGATCATAAGGCCACAAACTAATTCTGTCACAAGTAACCTCATAGGTTGATTTTTACCTTATCAGCCATATCATTTGTGAGGTCAGAAAGCATTTTAGAACAACTGAATTATCTTGTTCCATTTGATTAGAAATGACTTGTGGTGACCGAGAAAGACTTTCAGGGTCAACATCCCATAACATATGTTAAAATTAAATGCCTTGTGAGTCTTCATTGTAACAGCAAACTCAATATTGTATTTTGCTTGGAATGTTGTGCTGTACTCTTGTGACCTTGAGTAAACTCAAAGGTCACTGTTACATGAAGTCTTTCAATTATCCATGTGAAAAAAAGTCTGGGTCCCTGAGATTTGCCATTTTTTTAATGTTCAGATATGCACACAAACTTCATTAAATTAGTATTAATAATTTGTTTAATATTTATCAGTCAAAATAATGTACTTTGACAACAGCGGAAAAGAATTAAGTTGTATTTCTGCTTCTTAATGATGCCACTCAAATTTGTTACTGAAAATTTTTATTTCAGTTGACATTAAACTAAACCATCAATCTTTTTTGTTTCTCAGTATGAGAGAATAACATGCATTTTCTGAAAAATATATACTAAATTTTCTAGACTTAATCAGACAAATCACTTTATTCTGATTAGTGAAAAAGCAGAGTTGCATAATTGGGCGTTTTGTTGTGCTAAGTCTTATTACTATTTTCCAAAATTTAAATTTGAATCATGTCAAGCATATATGTAATTTGGAACAGGTGACACTTATAAGATAAAGTAAATTTAGTGCATGGAAAGGGTATCTGCATGCAAATGACATCTGTGAATTAGATTGAGGTTGAACTGCCCCTTTCTCTTGTGATAGTCTGCCTAGTCCAGATTGTCAGATTTCTCTCACTTCTGACAAGAACCTGTTTTTTTTTTTTGTTTTGTTTTTTTTGCATATATAATGAGTTAATGGTAAGGCTATATTTTTTTTGTATGGATTATTTTAATTTATAGAAGGCTTATATATAGTATACTATAAGATAGTTGAATATCTAATGAGTTATTTCCATACACTCACACATTTTTATGCATGTGATGTAGTAGAAATATAATTTTGTTCTGCTACTTTATGAATAAAAATCCATAATGCTTCAGTGACAAATAGACTGTTATTTACAGTTGGACTAATGTCCTCATCTTTGTTATGAAAACATTTTGGTTATTGTACCCTCCAACCTCTTTAAGGCATCTGT